CAGCAGGAAAAATCCACTAAAAATTCGATATCTCTGTCAAATCTCAATATGGGCACGAATCCTTTGGAGGTTTCTCTAATCTAGTGGTTCCCTACCTAATGGGCAACATATGAGCTGAAAAGCTTTTAATCACTTGGGAACGTTCCCTCGTAAGAATTCAAACTTTATCAAGCAATTATCCAATAACATTCTTGGTAGAGGTTCTTTAATTAGTGTAGTCATAAAAAATAATCAACCTTTTCAGTGTCTCTCATTTCTGTGTTTTTTTTTGTCAAAAAAATTATTCTATAAGTATGCGCTCATTTTGTCTTACTTATTCTACCTACTCGAAACGACGTGAGCCACCGGTGATTCACTGTAAAGAATAGCCTAAAAGGTTGTTTATCACAGAAAAAATTGAATATCTCTATCACACTTTGACCAAAAAGATTAGCTTTTCGACCACTGATAAAAGAATATTCATAGGAGAAATGTTGATAAATGTCGTTCTGAAGTATTATAGCTATCATAAATAAAGAAATAGAATCTTTCACAAATTATGAAAAAGTAATATTTATATCGTCGCGAAAGAGTTAATATTGACTCTTCGTTCCATGTTTTATTAAATGACGTATTTTACACTACAAATTCCCATTTGAGAATTTTAATTAATATAATGAACTTTATAATAGAATAGCTAGTAGTTTTTCTTTTCATAATAGATGATTTTAGAAAATTTTCACAGTTACGAATAACTATTTCCATTTTTTCACGAGTAGATAATGATGTAAAAGAATTTACGGGACAAAATTTGTGTAGCTTTTCATCTATTAACTAGCTGAGAGAATTTTTTTCACCACAAATCAACTATTTAGTTCTCTCTAATGCAAAATTTTCATTTATTCAAGAAATTATGTTTCTTTTTCTTTTTTCACTATTTATGTACTTATAAATATTTGTATGTTTCACTGATGTATTTATTTTGCTGATATGACGTAAGATTATTTATTTTGTTTTTCTTGTTTCTTCACTGTTTGTATGCACATGATTGCTTCATATGTTCACGATGTTTTCCTTTTTTGTATGTTCCTTCTCCTGTTATATGATGGTAATGCTCAACTGAGCAATGCTATAGTTGAAAACAAAAAGGCACTTTACATTAATGGAGAAATTGGTACACTTGTAGTTTTCATGTATTAACATGATTATAAATCTCACATATCTCACTGGTTCTTTTCAATCAAGCAACTGATTATCACATAAATTTTATGAAATCAAAATGGTGCACAGCACGAAAAAGGAACTCATCAATATTGACTAAATCATTCATATAACAAGATTATGTTACGATCACTTCGTATGAATTTAATCTTACAAGAAATCGATTTACAACATGATGACGTTAGCCAATGTCAATGAACCCAAAAAATAGCATCTGTACAACCTTATAAAGAACGATCTTTGATGTTATTATGAGGGTGTGGGTGTGGGTGGGTGTGGGGTGTGGGTGTGAGGGTGTGGGTGCGTGTGGGGGTGTGGGGTGTGGGTGTGAGGGTGTGGGTGGTGGCTGTGGGTATGGGTGTGTTGGTGGGGTATGGGGTGTGGGTGTCGTTGTGAGTGTGGGTGTAGGCGTGGGTGTGCGTGTGGGTCTGCATGAAGACAAGACCGACACCCACGCCAACAGCCACACCCACGCCAACAGCCACACCCACGCCTACACCCACACCCACACCCCACCCACACCCGCCCACACCCACACCCCACACCCACCCACACCCACACTCACACCCACACCCACCCAACCCCACACCCCACCCACCCACACCCAACCCACACCCACACCACCCACCCACACCCACACCACCCACCCACACCCACACCCACACCCTATGAAGCTGATAGAAAAGAGTCCTATGAAGGGTGTAGGTGTGGGGTGTGGGTGTGGGTGGGTGTGGGTGTGGGTGGGTGTGGGTGTGGGTGGGTGTGGGTGTGGGTGTAGGTGGGGTGGGTGTGGGTGTGGATGTGGGTGTGGGTGTAGGCGTGGGTGTAGGCGTGGGTGTGGCTGTTGGCGTGGGTGTCGGTCTTGTCTTCATGCAGACCCACACGCACACCCACGCCTACACCCACACTCACAACGACACCCACACCCCACACCCCACCCACACACCCATACCCACAGCCACCACCCACACCCACACCCACACGCACCCACACCCTCACATCCACACCCCACATCCACCCACACCCCCACCCACACCCACACACCCACACCCACCCACACCCACACCCCCAAAAATATCAGCCATCATCTCCAGAAATCATGCATGAACTAAATTCTTTTCGCGTTATTTTGTCGAAATATATCTAATCGTAGAATTTTAGCAGAAAGAAATATATTTAAAAAATATTTTTTATCGCTGTAAAACGATCAAGTAGTGAGAACGACTAAATGGCTCAATCTCTTCCAGAAAAAGCTATTTATTGATACAAAAACTAGGAATAGATTTAACTTCCAATACATCATTAGAAAGAGCACTATTTTTACTACAAAAACATCATTGAACATATTTTCTCACTCCGCTTCTAATATAAAAAGAAACTAACAGAAAATAGAAAATGATGTTGCTCGATGATGAAGTTGCAAGAACTTTTTTAGAGGTGTTTGCTTTTTGGCTTTTCCACCGTCTCAGATTCGTTCTGGAAAAATATGTCTGATAAAAAATTTGTAGTTCAGACTTTGTTCTTTCTAACAAGGAAAATTGATTGATTCAGAAGTTGGTAATATGATCTAACAGGATTTTATATTTGGGCAAAGACTTTTGCATCGATCATTATTAAAAAAACGCATATAGACTTTTTTAACATATACTGTTTTTATTGTGCCTATGAAACGAGATTGACAATGATAAAAACGCACGTCAATTAAAACAGAGCAGCATACATATTCTATAATTGCTATTAACATGTTTTCAAATAGCATCATCATTTATTTACACAATATTAATATTTCTCTTTCTGTTAGTCGATGGAATAGCCTTAAAGTCTGTTGATCGAGAAAAACGTTCTAACTAATCTGAATCACGATAGAATTATAATTTCAAGCCTTAAAATTTATTCGAAAAAAATTGGAGAAATTTTTCGAAAATTTTCACCGCTGCCGCGCCGCGACAGCCAAAGTAGATAAATTGCCGCTGCCGCCGTGGCGGTCGCGTCGCGCAGCTCCGCCATGGACATCTCTGATTGGTTCATCATTTGATTCATTGATAAAATGAAACATTACTTTTTTTAATGAACAGTTCATAATTAGACGATGTCAGCGATTACAACATATTTTTACCTATTAATTGAGTTGAAGATAGGGACAATATCTTGTGTTTCATGTATCTTTCTTAATTGACTTTCTGATATACAACTATTTTGTAATTTTCTTCTTTCCTTCTTCTCTTTAATGTCATTACACGTTTGATTTTATCTGCTTTTCGATGTTTAAAGAAACTATAGATACTGATCAAGTAGAATGAATTTAATATTAACTTTATATGATTTGTTTTAGTTTTGATTCGTTTATAATTACGTAGAATTACAATTTTTGTTGCTAATGAACGATTTTTCGACAATTTGTTTGTAACAAAGAAATAAGGAAAGCAGTAATGACTACGACAGTTAATGTATCATTACCAAATTTGAATAAATTTACGGAAATAATAAGAGACAAAAGGGATGACATAAATGTATGAATAAGGAACGAGAAACTAAGAGAGATAGCTGTTCATTTTTTGAAAATTTGAGGAGTAAGTGTAAACGAAACAACATCGTACGTTCACATCTTCATAACTTTTTCTAACTTCTTTTTGGTATCGATAGTTTGTTCAAAGATAGAATACAAAGCCGAGAAGATCAGAGAATTACAAGATCAAAAGGAGTGACATATTCAGAGAAGAATAAGTGAATAGTTTCTATACTAGCCACATGATTGAGAAGATACATGAGAGAAAAGATACTGCCCTTAGTAGCATCAAATTATTGTATGTCCACCTTTCATACTTTTTCGCGACCAACAAACACATGGCAATTATCGTTAATTGGCATGCTCATTAAGACAAGCTAATTATTTCAAAAATACGTATTAGAATAGTAACTTACATAAAAATAAAAAAGATTTGATAAGATGAAAGACTGAAATCATTTTCTATATCAATACTAGTAGGAAATGACGCTTCGAACATAAAAGAAGATAGTTTTTACATTTTCATGTCTATTGATTGCTATCCGTAAGTATTTCATCTTTATTTATAAAAACGAATACTGTTTTTAGAGGTAAATTTTTCTTATTTAATAGAATTTTTAACTCATTCATGATAATAAAAATCAGGTTTGCTAGATATGTTAAAAAGAAAGAAAGTTTCTTAATATTTCTTGATGTTTTGAGTTTTGTGCTTTTGTACATTTTTCTAAACATGTCGAGCTGTTATATATATGTCAATGTTGTTAGTTGCATAAAATATAATAAAAGTCATCGTTAGGATAGTAATGCACTTCAGAATAACATAAATAGTAATTAATTTTACGAATAATTGTATAGATGATTCAGTCTGTCAAATTCAATATTGAGCATACTTCGCAAAAATTGATGAAACAAAAAAAACTAAAAATTGAATGAATAAACTTTTGTTTCATGATGATTTGTGTGGTATACATTGGCATGATAGAAAAGAAAAGAAAAGAAGAAAATAGACAGATAGTGATAAAGTATGGATCAATATCTGATTGGTTCATACGCTCTATGTGAAGTGAGGCACAATTCTTTGGATTCCTATGACCGGATATCAGCTAATCATTGAGTCTCTACATTGTAAAAGATGGCGTTGAATATCAGTTCAATTTTGTCAAAAGTAAAGTTCTTTTTTTTTTTATTGGTTCATTTTTCACATATTATTTCTCAACATTTTTACTGATTTCATTCACTCTTTTACTTATATCCGTTAAAGGATCCTCTAGTTTGATTTTATTTCATACAATGCCTAAATATTATTGTGATTATTGTGATACATATTTAACACACGATTCGCCATCTGTACGTAAAACTCATTGTCATGGTAGAAAACACAAAGAAAATATTCGTGATTATTATCAAAAATGGATGGAAGAACAAGCACAAAAATTAGTAAGTAGTATTTCTTCTTCTTCTTTTTTTTAAATTTAATTTCTTCTCTCTTAGATTGATCAAACAACAGCTGCATATAAATCTGGAAAATTAACTAATGCACCTTTTCCTATGGGAGCACCTCGTCTTATCAATCCAAATATTGCACCACCACGACCTGGCATGCCAGCTATCGTACCACCATGGGCATTTAGTTTACCACCTGGCATGCCACCTTTAGGACCGCCTCCTAATCCAGCTGCTATGACTGCACTAATGACTTTACGACCTCCACCTGGTATACTACCACCTGTTGGTATACCTCCTGCTGTTGTTCCAAAATCTTCTACTGAATAATATGATCAACATTTAGAGTGAATATTACCTGTTTTTTTTTCTTGTTTATTTGTACATTTCGTTATAAGTTAATATGAGCTAGTAAAATTATCTTGCTCTTAAATATTTGTTTTGTTTTTTTTCTTCTGTTTCAATAACATATCATATTAACATTATAGATCATATCAGTTCATTATCTTTACTAAGAAAAATTCTTCAGATAAGATATGATTTATCTAGTGAATCTAATACTACATTTTTCTCGTAAGAGAATTATTAAAATTGTTGACTTGTTTTTCTTTTGTTTTTGAATTTCTCAAGAATGATGAAATTCTTTGCACCAAAAAAAAAGAATTTCAATATAACAAAAACATTATATATTCATAAATCTAATGAAATTAATTTTTTTTTTTTTATTTCGAAAAACAAAATTATAAATGTTCTCTATAATCTGGTGGTGGTGGTGATGTTGATTGATTCTGATTAATTTCCATATAAATTGGTGGTAAATCTCGTGTTTGTATAATTAATGGTTGAAAAAAATCTAAATCATTTTTAATATTCATAATATCTTGTTCATCAATATTATGAATTTTAACAAGAACAGCTGTTGTTGTTGTTGGTTGTAATGGATGATTAATTATTTCATTATATATTGAATTAATTTGTCTTTGTCTTAGATAATATTTTAAAATTCGAATAAGTGTATAGATAAGAAAACTAACAAAAATAATATAACATCCGATGAAAAAATAAAAGAAAAAAATATAATTATTATTATGTTCAGTCGATATTGATGGCATTTTTTTAATTGAAGTACAAAAAAAGAAAAACGAATTTAAATGAATAATAGAAAAGAGAGAAAAAAAAAAACTTGAATATGTCAATGGCGCTTTAAATTATGTTCTAAATTTTAGAACTAACATCAATATTGAGATAAAAGATAATATTAAATTATATTCAAACATTTAGTTTTTCGTATAAAGCATAACAAAGCCATGACTATGGATTTATTGAATGTTAATCGTCTATACGAGATTCTTTTTTTTTTCCTCTTTTTCAGCATCAGACGATTTATTGTTCGATGAGTAGGATTTTACGTAATTTTTTTTTTTTTCATTTATTGTCCTTGGACATTTTACTTTTTGAATAAATAATTCTATTGACATAGTAATAAGCCATTTATCAAAAAAAAAAAAAAGACACATTTACAAAATAGTTTGAACAATATTATGTCAATAACTACAAATTCAAATTCAAATGATATTCCAAACAGTGATCAAACGAGAAGTCAGGTATGTAATTTGATAAGCTTTTCTTTTTAATATACATGTCAATCAAAATATTCCTTTTTTTCTTCTTCTTATGTACAGAATCTATTTGGATTTAATGTCAAATATACAAAAATTGAGAGTTGTCATTTGATTTTAATTCTTTTCATGTACAAATATGAATGTAGGTAAGTTCATTTAATGTTATAAAAAATTTAACCTGCTTTTAAAAAAAAAAAAGAAAATGTGATTATTAAGACCAACGTCAACAGATGTATGGTAACTTATTTTTTATTCATTCCCCTCCTCTTCACTCGTTTCGCTTTTTGCGTGTTCGGATTTTTTTTTTTTTGCTTGTCGTTGCTTTCATTCGGCACTTTGCTCCTTTCGCTCTCCCTACCTTATTCATCTTACCTATTCATTCTCATATTATCATCAACGTCACTATTAATCGAGTATAAGAAAAACTTCTGTTGTTTTCGTCAATTATTTTAAAAACTTTTATAATAAAAAGCAAAATGTCTCGTACAAATATAAGTCCATTGATAAAAGCTCAGGTAATTAAAGGCACAAAAAAAAAAATAATAAAACAATTTTTCTTTAAAATACTTATAGTTAGAAAAACTAACCGCTGCTGGTATTGATATTACTTCCGGACATCGACCAATACGTTCATCTCCACCAATAATTATTTCAACAAAATCAACTCATTCAAACGTAAGCACGTATTATTTGTTTCATTAATACTTGTCTCTATTTGAAAACGTGTATATATATAAGAGAACGAGAAAAATACGAACAATATAAATGATTATATGATGACTAATAATTCTCATTCGTATTTTCGTTTTTCGTATTTTTTTTTTTCTTTAATGTTTTTTTTATTAGACATCATCACAAAGCTCTTCATACACATCTATACCTGATCAAATGTCTTCATCGGGTGTAAGAGCATATTTATTAGTTTTTTATTACGAAAAACATTCTTTTTTCTTTTTTATTATATAGGAAACTTCATTACAATTACATCGAGAATTCGATAATAGTAAAATAATTAATATTTCATATAAATATTGAATATATTAATTTAGCATCAAATACTTCATTGCCTATATTATCATCTAATTGTCAACGATTAGAACATTCAGCAGCACGAAATCGTATCGCAGTAAAAAATCAACGAAAACAACCAATTAAACATAAAGTACATTATAAATATTTCTTTTTTTTTGATTCATCAATTATGTTTTTTTGATTATAGTTAAGTATTTTAAAAGAAAATAATGATAATGAATTTGATTTATTTTCATCAAAATTTGATGATGAAGAAGAAAATTTTCCATCACATATTGAAGTATAAAAATTTCAATAATAAAAATATTAAAATATCAAAAAAAAAATTTTTTTTTTCTCATAGTCAAAAATTCAATCAAAATCAGTTATGGATCTTTCTAATTTTGATAAAGAACAAAATCATTTTTTTAATTCTCTTCGTCCTCGTGATCATTCAGTTGATAATATACATTCAACAACATTCACTACTCCAACATATATATCATCTGTTCAACGATCAATAAGTTTTAAATGTCCACAAGAATTTAATCAAACAACATTTACAATAAAAAAAGATGAAGAAAATAAACATGAATCAACATTAAAAGATATTAATCAAAATAATTCATATTCATCATCTCAAGAACATATTTATGATAATTCAAATTTATTTCAACATCATAAAACAAATATATTATCAAATGAAAATCAATTATCAACAAATAATATTATTAAAACACGTGAACGACTTATACCAATAACAAATCGTATAAGACCACTTACGGTACATATACCAACAAATAATGATAAACAAACAATAAATGAATATGAAAATGTTCTTAATCAAATAAAAAAACCAAGTTTAATTAAAAAAATTCAACATAAAGAAGAACAAGAAACAGTACCCACATTATCCGTTGTCGACGAATCAATACAAACACCTTCATCATCTATTCTTATTGAAGATACATCTAAAATTTTATCAACTGAACATGAATTAATAGTTCCAGTTGTTATTCCAACAAAAAAATTAGTTGAAACATCTTCCGTATCTCAACCACCAGATCGACGAAAAACAGTTGGTGGTGTAAATTTACCAACGAATAATAAAGTTACTACAAATACTAATCAATCAATACCATCATGGATTGATATTGCTAAACAAAAACAAAATAAATTGTAAGTATTTATTTTCTATAGAATAGAATGAGCATAAGTTTATATAATAGTTAAATTTTTATTTTAATATGATAAGATGAGACATTTTCGATTTCTTTATCGAAATATATTCAATTGAAAGAAATTCAAATTTCTATATTTTTTTTTGCTATGTTTAACATTTTAAAGGTTTTAATAAAAGAAGATCAAAAATATTTCATCTTACTCTATCAAATAAATAATTTTTCATAAATTATTATTCGACGTTTATAATCAAGAATTCGTTTAGTTACATTTGTAATTTATTTTTTTAGAAGAGCTGCATTAATTGAAAAAAGTCAAAGTGAAGAATCTGAAAAAATAACATCTATCGAACCTGATATAGTACCTAAAAAACAAGTTATTAGTTCATCTAAACCAATAACAACAGTTAAAGAAACTACTTCTAATGATACACCAACATTTAATCCTTCTATTATACGACGATTATCATCACGAGTACCACAAACTAATACACATATAGTTGAACGAGTAAATATAAATTATTTTAATATAAATTTAAATTATAGATTTTATTTTATTTCTAGGATTCTATACGAGCATTAAAAGCAAATAATCCAAATCGTATAAATAATTTAATTAATTTTTTTGATAAATAAATCTTATTTATTATATCTCGGTTCTTTGTTTTTTTATAGAATAACAGTGATTTTTTTTTTTTTTTTTTTTGTACAAAGAATAAATCTATTATTGTAATATATCGATAAAGTATTTGTCTCAGAAACAAAACAAAAGAAAGAAATAATTATTATTTTTAGATATATAATAGAATGGATTTTATAAGAAATTCTAGTCAAGGTATAGTTGATGCTCAATTAGCATCATTTATTGAACAAGAAAATCAAAAACATCATTTTCATTCAATTGTACATGGATTAACAGAGAAATGTTGGGATTTATGTTCACCAAATATATCATCAAAAATTGATGATAAAAATCAAAAATGTTTAATTGATTGTGTTGAACGTTTTGTTGATTCAAGTAATTATATTATGAATAAAATAAATCAAAAAGATGCTGCAACTAATATAAAAATGAATGTAAATGAATTTAATTCATTAACAGATTTTTCATTAGGTGCACCGGATATTGGTCTTGATATACCTGAATTTTCTACACATTATAATTCATCAAATCAACAAGAAAAAAAGAATAATCGAAAATTTTGGTAGATTAATTTTGTCTTTTTTTTTTTTGTATTCACATTTTACCTTAGTATTAAATAAATGTATCGAGAAACTATTACTGTAAATAAACCAAATGAATTGGAATTACAAACAAGTCCTAATATAATGGATATTCATGCATAGTTTTATTTTCCTTTTTATCTAATATACATTTAAAAAACAAAAATATAACTATTGATTTTTGATCGTTTATTTATGTTTTGTTTGTTTGTTGTTGTCACTCTCGCAAGTAAATATTTATTGTACCTGTCTGACATTAAATGTAATAGAGAGTGGGTGTATTTATCAGTATGAATATGTTTTTTTTTCAGTTGTACACGAACATTATAGAATTATCGAAAGATTTTTGTTTATGCAAGTCAAGTCTATATAAATATGATAATAGAATCAAATTTGAATGTATTTTTATAAGATATATATTTGGATTTATCTTGTTAAATTAATGACAAGAGTTGATATCAATGAAAGAATTTCAAAAATATGTTTTTATTATATTTTAGATCATGTCATCAGTTGATTCACAATTATATGAATGGTGGTTATATGAAGAAGCATCTTTAGAATGTAATAAACGTAATGTTGATATGTTTTGTCATCATAGACGTGTACAACTTATTTTACTTGATACATGGAGATATGTTACACAGTTTAGTTATTTCTAAGATTTATTTATTTTTATTAAATTTTCTTCTAAATCTAGACTTCCTATACAAGTCATGAATCAATTAGCTAATCGACCTATGGAATCTTATTGGACTACAAGACCGTTTAATAAAAATGTTATTAAACAAATAGATCAAAATCATCAAAGTGAGTTTTCTTTGGAAAAAAAAAATTTTATTTGAATACATTTTTTCTTCTTCTTTTCTCTAGTTTCTTTTTCACAATGTCTTAATTGGACTGAAATAAATGCTACAAATATACGTCAAAAAATGGTAAAATTTCATTTTTATTGTTCTTTTCTTTATTATACTTTTATAGATGAATGACAAAATTCGACCATTATTTAAAGGTCATAGTGATGGACGAAATCCTTTATGTGGTCAAATTAATTTACTTTCAATAAAAACACCAAAAATTTCATCATCATTTGATAATCAACCACAAACATTAAATAAAGTAAATAAGAATCAAAAAGAGTAAAATCATTATTTTACTAAATTCTTTTTATTAATTAGAAACGTCCAGCTCCAGCATATTTTTCTGATGATACAATGGATACAAGTACTAGTCATCATTATCGACCACCATTTGGTAAACCACCACCACCACAACAACAACAACCACAAATTTCACAAGATTCATTATCATTTCGTACAGCACGTGATCAATTAGAAATTGATGAAGCACGTACAAAAACCAATGGTGTTGTTGTTAAAAAGTCCCTTGGTATGCATTCATCAGCCAAGTAAGTTTAATTGATTATATAATTGAAAGAATTTTTATCTCATTTAATAGACGTTCAATATATAATCGTTATGTTGATCCAACTGGTGGACGACAAACACAAGGAGATTCTAATCGACAAATGATGCTACTTCCATCAACATCATCGGCACCTGTTTTATCAACAAATCAATCAAATAATACGGAAATTTCAAATAATAAATTAGAAGAAAGTGCTGCTGTTGCTGCTGTTGCTGCTAGTGGTGGTGCTGGTGCTGGTGCTGTTGCTGCTGCTAGTGGTGGTAGTGGTGGTGGTGCTAAACATATTGATCCTAAATTAATTGAAATGATTACTAGTGAGGTAATATGAATTTTATTTCATAAGACATTTAAAAAAATAATAGAAAATTATTAAAACTATTCTTTTACAACTTCTTAACTATATTAAACTTAATTGCAATCATATTATCTTGAATTCATTTTTATATATGTTTGTACGATAAAAAAAGCTCAAGTACTTTATGATTTGATGCAAACTTGTATAAGAATATGAATGTGATTTTCAATCAAAGCAAATTAGAATAGATAAATGTTTTATTATTCTCTTACAGTAAATCAAAAAAAGAAAAAAAACAAACTTTCTTTCATATTCTATAGATCATGGAACTTAATTTAACAACAACATGGAGTGATATTGCTGGTTTGACTGAAGCTAAAAGATCTATAACAGAAATAGTTGTTTGGCCAATGCAACGACCTGATATATTTACTGGATTAAGAAGACCACCGAAAGGTTTACTTCTTTTTGGTCCACCAGGTATTTTTTTTTTGTTTGTTTTTTTTTAATATTTTTTTGATTATTTTTATAGGTACCGGAAAAACTCTTATTGGTAAATGTATTGCTAGTCAATCGAAAGCAACATTTTTTTGTGTTTCATCATCATCAATGACATCAAAATGGCATGGTGAAAGTGAAAAATTAGTTCGAGCATTATTTGCAGTAGCTCGTTCACGTCAACCATCTGTAATATTTATTGATGAAGTTGATTCATTACTTCAAGAAAGATCAGAAAATGAAGATGAATGTACACGTCGTATTAAAACAGAATTTCTTGTACAAATTGTAAGTTTGAAAATTTTTCATTGTTTTTGTATTTCTTTTAATTTGAATTATTTTTAGGATGGAGCAAGTACACAAGGTGAAGAACGTATTTTATTAATTGGTGCTACTAATCGGTATAAAAAAAAAAAATAATAATAATATTTTTTATAATTCATTTATGTGTATATATATATATATATATATATATAGACCACAAGAACTTGATTCAGCAGCTCGTCGACGTTTTGTTAAACGTATTTATATTCCATTACCTGATTTATCAGCACGAAAAGCAATTATATCAAATTTACTTAAAGATCAAAAACATATTTTAACAGATAATGATATGGAACATATATGTACACTTACAGATGGTTTTAGTGGTGCTGATATGCATAGTCTTTGTCATGATGCTGCTTTAGGACCTATTCGTGATATACATGATATTGAATTACTTTCAAGTGAAGAAGTAAATTATGTTTTTCTATATGAGAATTTTCTTTTCATATATATATATTTTTTCGAAGATAATAATAACAAGTGAAACTTTGTAACTTTTTTCCTAGGCTTTAACAATCATAATTAAAGACTTTAAATGATATTAATAATAAAGTTTAGACTCGATAAGATATATGAGTTCGATATTTTAACCCCAAAGGGATCACGTTGATAAGTGTGTTTTTTTTTTATTCTTGAATAGGTACGTGGTATTTCACTTGAAGATTTTGTTAAATCACTTAAAGCAATTCGACCAAGTGTATCCGAAAGTGATTTAAAACAATATGAAGGTAAAAATACTTAAAAATCAATTCTTGTTTTTTTTTATTCTTTGCTCAATAGATTGGAATAAAGCATATGGTTCTATTTAATTTGATTTATACATACATATATATATATTATCTTTATAAATGTTATTTTCATTTTTTTTTATTGAATATGATGTCAGATATTAACTAGATGAAAAAAAAAATTTTTATAAGCATAGTCAAATATATACTTGATATTAACAATTAGAATGTTTTTTTTTTCTTTAAACATCAATTTTTGTACGTTCATATTTTTATTTTTATACGTAAAATTCCATTTTGTTAAACACATGCAGGACATTTAACAAAAGGATTGTTAATCATTGCTGGATCTTTAGCACATAGACGACAATTAGGTTTGATATGATTACAACCAACACCACCTTGAGCACATTTTGGATCATAATACATACCAAGACCAGCAGCTGCATCACCTGGTGAAGTTAATGATGTACATGAACCATCAAGTGGCATAGTACATTCACCACCAGTTGTTACTGGTGCAGTTGATGTAGTACTTGATGATGGATCAGTTGTAGGAGTAGGTAATGTTCCTGTACCATTATTTGTATTTGGTCGTGTAGCAGCCCAATACTAGAAACAAAAAGTTATATTTAAAAAAAATAAATAAAATTCTTAATATTTACAAGAGCCCAAGTACGTGTAAGACCATCATCAAGTGGTGCAGTAAGTAATTGATTAAATGCATCACCACGATTAATAATAGCATAATTCGTATATAAAATACTTTTCCAACCTCCTACAGCACTTCCAACAATTTTACCAACTATTGTTGACCATTCTTCTTGAACAAATTTTGGAAGACGTACTTCTTCAGTAATTGGTGTTGATGGAAGCATTCTATGATATAAAAATAGTTGAAAAAAAAATTTCTTTATATTTCAATATTATTACTTACTGAATACCATGAATAAATTCTGGATTAGCTCCAAACCATGTTGCATAATCAGCTTTGTTTTCAAAAAATATACCTGTAACTTTATTAGCAATAAATTCTTTTGGCATAACTTTATTATCATTATCCATAAGAAAATATGTTTGAATACTACGTTTAGCAATAGCTAACATTAATCGACCAAGACCTTCAAGTGTTTTTGATTGTGTTGCTAAACCCCATAAAGCTAAACCATAATGAAAATTAACTTCTTCAGATGTTGATTCTTGATCTTTACCATCAGCTGATTCAAATAAACCCTTATATAGAAATAAATAATTAAATATTAAAATAAAGAAAAAAAAAAACAAAAAAGTAAAATTTTTCATACTTGACTCCAACTATGTCCTGAATACCAATCAAAATAACGAAATTGTGGAAAATTTGTATCTTGTATTGAAGGATTATTAGAATCACGTATTAATCCTTCAATCCAATTTTTCATTTTTGGTATATAACTTGGATCAAGATGAGCAATTAATGCACCTGTTTGAATATAATATCCCCAATGATAATGATGATCATTATAATATGAATTACCAAAATCAGCTAATTCTTGTTGTGGTCTATAAAAAAAAATATTTCATGTTAAAATTAATTAGAATAGAAAAATAAATAAATAAATAAATACTAACGCTAAACCAGCAGCTGAAACAAAACCAGACCATGTTGTATCATATCGTAATGCATTTGCATTTTTACCAGTAATAAGTATATCAAATGCATTTTCTAATGTTTTTATACATTGTTCTCGTAATGATGTTTCTCGATAATAATCAGCTAATAAACATAATAATGCCAATTTATGAAATGCTTTTCCTGTAAAATAATAATCTGATATAGCTAAATTAACACCATTTGTTATATCTTTTTTTAATTGTGCTACAATATAATCTTCATATTCAGGTGCAGGTGAACGTGGTGCAAGAAAACCCATTGTTGATAATGAATTTTCAATCATTATCCAAACATTACCAATATAACCTATCATTGGTCCTTTACTTGATGATTGAGATTGTATAGGTGTTCCTGTAGCACTATTTGATGACATAACTTGTCGATGATGTGCAAGTGTATAATGAAGAAGAGTTTTTGTTAAATCACCTTTACGTTCCCAAATAAATGTATATGCACCTTTTGAATCAGTTACATCAGCTTTTAATTGACATCCAATTGGATAAACAGATACATGAGTATCAAGTAAAGAATTTGCATAAGAATCGGATTGTTTTTTAGTTAAACGAAGAACATTTGTTATTGATTGTGTACCAAATAATTGATTTTCACGAAATTCTAATGTAATATCACCATTAAGTGTATATAAAATCCATGTTTGTTGATTATTTAAAACAATTTCAAAACGTTTTCCAGTTAATCTTCCTGATGTTTGACCATTAACAGAAAGAATAGCATGTGTTGTTGAAATTTTTGGTGTTGCTGAATTATATTCAAATGTAACATATGCCATACCACGTACAATAGGCATTATTATTGATGATTGAGAATTTTCTTGATACATTTTTAATGTTAATGAAAATCCTGGATCATCAACATCAATAATTTCAAATTTTTGTGTAGAAAATTCTGTTGCACTAACTTGAATATTTTTTAATATTACATTTATAAAATATTTTACTCTTGTACTATCAATATGTGGTCCAAATGATAATTGTTCAGTACATGATATTGATATACCATATGGTGATTCAAGATTCATAAAAAGTACAAATGGATGTGTTATAATTGGATTACTACCTGGACCAAGAAGTGGATTTGTATAAAATTTATTTGTATGTAATGGTCGTTTTTGTGATAATTTAAGTCGTTGTGGTTGTCGTGGATGAACAATATTTGGATAAAATGTTGAATCTGGTCTTGTTGTTGATATAGGTACTAATACATCAATACTTATTACAGTACTAATAGCTATTAGAATTGTTAGACTACGAAGTAGAAACATAGTTGTAATGATAGTTAAAAACAAAAAAATAAGAATGATAGAAAAATTCATATGATTCGATTTTTTATAGTATATTGTTATTTGATGAGGATTAAAACGAAATTTATTTGGTAGTGTCGAATGTAAAAATTCGTTAAGTCACCAAATAAATGAATATTTTTATTAGAATGATTGAAGATAAAAGAAATTTGATATTAATAGTGCTAAATATCGACAATTTCTTTGTTCATTTTTTTTTTCTTTTCGTAGTGATGCTTGGAGAAAAAAGAAGTAATGTAGACACTATTTTTATCAATCAAAATTTATTTTAATTCTGAATTAGACAAAAAAATCTTTTCATCTATTGGTATATTTGATTAGTTCTTAGAATAATGATTATACCTAGATCGATATTTCAACATACGAAGTAAAAATAAGTTTTTTTTTTGTTTTTTAGCAAAACAATTTAATTGCATCTTAAATATTTCATCTTATATAACCAAGTAATTTAAGAAAACAACTTTGGACTGATAATAATAGAATAGTAGTGAAATTTTAGGCATTTCTTTATTGATCTAAATAGAGAATAAGATATATTTTCTAATATAATAATAGTATGTGGGTTAAAGACCAAAAACACAAGATTAAAATTCATAAAGAAATTGCAAACAAACGTTGTTAAAGTTTATCGTGAGAAAGACAAAAAGATAGCGAAATGGAAAAGAAACTTGATTCATGCATCACAATCAAATTATACTTTCAGTATTACATTTTCTTCTCGGATAGATATTCTCATAACTCTTTCTTGCATAATATTAAGTCAATTGATAATAGGCATAAGAATAAAGTCTACATTGAGTTTCAATATATTTTCGATTATTAAAAATTCAAAGAATGTGTTATGGGAAAGAACACATCATGAGAGTCAATGTGTGACGAACAACGATTATGAAAATATTTGTTTGAACAGCAACAGCTATGGATTTATTTTCAAAGAAATATTTTTATTCAATCGAAACATTATGATTGTGTTATAATATTGATAATATAAATGATCTAAAAAAACTAAAAGATATTTTAATAAATAATTCATATGAATTAATCATGAAATATTATTTTGTTGCTTTTCTCGATATTCTTGAAACTTTACTCATCAACCAATATTTTACACAACACCCGCATAGATTTTTCTAATATCATATTTGTCATCCTCCTGTTTCTGTATGTTACGAAGTAAGGATCAATAGGTTCACAAAGAACCATATATTGAGATGTCCAAATAGTATTCATGACAAACAAATCAATTAAAAATGAAATATATATCAATATGTTGATAACAATCTATTCATATATAAAATATAAATAAAAAATTCCACAATTTGATATTTTGCATTTTCATACTTGAAACTTATCAAGCTGAAATTGATAGGTGAGAAAATGTATGTTTCTTTTTTGGATAGTAATACAGTCGAACGTTATACAATATTTCAAAAGTTAATCTATTTATTAAAAAAGGATTAAAACACCATTTCGAATACACTCAGTAATATTCTATTTGAATCTATTATTAGATAGTAAAACTTGATAATTTTGTTTCATAAATATCAAGCATATTGTAATCTTCTTTTTTTTTTTATTCATAGTATTATTTTTATTGTGATTATATTATGAAATTTACATTTTATATTTTGATATTATCAATAGAATGTAATGTAATAGCCGAAATTTATTTTTATATAGCCGCAATAAATAGTATCTCATCGATTAATGCTATATTTTTATTTGAATAAAATATATTAAAAAACAAAGGTTTTTTTTTTAGTTTTTACTCGATAAATAAAAAATTTATTGCTAGATGATATTTTCAATGATAATTGATTACAACAAATATAATGATGCAATTCATTGAATCAATAAATCTTTGAGTATTATATATACATAGGTTTACTAGAGTTAATGCAATAAACATTTTTTTTTTTTGTTACATATTTTCAGCCTAGTTCTCCGTTCTGTTATTTTTATTTTGGTGAGTGTGCTGATGGATAAATATACTCTAATCGTTTTATTTTCATGGTTTCTTTTTTTTAATTCAATGTACACTCAATGTTCGTTTATATGCTTAAATAACCTATCATATCATGTAATACTAACATACATGTCTTAGAATATGAACGGATAGGAAAAAGGCTCCTATTATTATTATTCGCTGATGAGAAAAAAAGAACTAACAATGAGAGAGAGAGAGACTACGAGAGTAAACGAGGAAAGGAAGACAACACAACATTGTAGCTGTAGTCGACAAAAATGAAGAATAAGGAAAATGCGTAGTACATGTGGTTTTATACATAAAGAAAGAATAAAAATAAAAAGGAAGAAGAAACATGCATGTAAATGTATTTCAAAAGGTTGTTCTTTTTATATAGACATGTCAAAAAATCAGCATCCTTATCTAAAATCAAATCAATTTCAAAAAATTTATCAGTCGTAAGAATACAAACAAAACTATTTGTATTTTTTTTTTTAAAATAAATAACATTTTATAATTTTCTTTTTAAGTTGGGTATCAAGTCTATTACAATTAGGACGTAAACGACCACTTGAAATTGATGATGTATTTGATATTTTACCTGATGATCAAAGTCAACCTTGGATTGATCGTCTTGAAAAGTAAATAATATGAATTCGTTATATATATATATATATATATATAAAACAAATGACTCATACTCTATATGAAAGAAGAAATAACAGAACAGAGAAAAACTTCCAATGATTTACTATTATTTAAAATCTTCTAATCTAATTTATTGAATAGAACATGGGAAAATGAAATAGCACTTGCTAAGAAATCTGACAAGAAAAAACATAAACCATCATTATTTCGGGCAACTTGGAAAGTCTACAGAAATCGATATTGTATTATGGGCTTATTTCTGTTGGTTCATGTATGTATAGACATTATCTTTTTTCTAACGGGAAAAAAAGTTTATATGTTTTCGGTTTTGTTTATAGACCATATGTCGTTTTATTCAACCATTTATATTAGCACGTTTTATTCGATATTTTGCACCATGTTCAAATATATCATTAACTGAAGCAATAATATTAGCTACATTAACAAGTATCATTCCTTGGATTATGTTTGTAACTCGTCATTTAGCATTTATTAGATCTTTTATTGGTGGTATGCATCTTCGATGTGCATATTGTGGACTTATATTTCGTAAGGTTAGAAAATATAAATTATATAAATAAAGAAAAAAGCAAAGGAATTTATTCATATGAATATTAATATAGATTATGAGATTATCCATAGGATCATTAGGACAACATTCAAGTGGAAAAATTGTGAATATGTTAACAAATGATGTTCAAACAGTTGAACGTTTAACTATTGATGGTAATTTTCTTTGGATTGGTTTACTTGAAACAATTGTTGTACTTATTATTCTTTGGTCTTATGTTGGTATTACAATTTTATTAGCTATTATTTATACATGTTTTATTATTATTTTACAAATTATTTGTGGAAAATGTATTCAATTAATATGGTATAAATTGATTTTTTTTCTTACAAAAAAAAAAAAACAAATATTATTAAATTTTATTTATTAGGACAAAACGTGTTCGAAAAACAGATTTACGTATTAAATTAATGAATGAAATTATTAAATCAATACATCTTGTAAAGATGTATGTATGGGAAAGACCATTTCAATTTAAAGTTGAACGTGTAAGAAAGTATGATATATTTCATTTGATAAATATTTTTAATTTTATTTTATTATTTTTAATCTATTTAGACAAGAAACAACATATGTTATTTTACAATCACTTGTAGATACAATAAAAATTGTTAATGGACTTACATATCCATCAACATTTTTTTTAATTATTTTTGGTATTCTTTGGTATCGAAGAGCACCTTTTGATACTGACTTTTTTACAATAGCATTTGTTTTAATTTCCTATCTTCGTCATACATATTTACATAATTTTTCTAATGCTTGTATACATCTATCTCAATATTGGGTAGCATCAAATCGTATTGAAGTATAAATTCTCTCCTTTTTTTTGTTTTATTATGAATGAAATATTTATTATTTAGAAATTTTTAATATGTGATGAATATGATCGATCGAATGCAATTACTTATGAGAATGAAAAAACTGATAAAACATATATTAATGTTCAACAAGTTTCATCAAGTTGGGAGGTAATTTTATACAACAAAAAAAAAAAAAAAATTCCGATTAACTAATATTGATGATTTTATTTTAGCAAAACTCATCATTTAGATTAAGAAATATTTCATTTTCTGCTTATGTTGGTGATCTTATTATGATTATTGGTTCGATTGCATCGGGAAAAGTATATAAATTCTAATATTTAATTGTAATATTTTATACTTTATAGAGTTCATTATTAATGACATTACTTGGTGAAATGCCAATAAAAAATGGAAAAATTTCTTTTAGTCGAAAATCACGTCTTTGTTATGTATCACAAGGTAGATTAAATAAATTAGATTGTTAATATAGAAAGATCTTGTTTTTTTTTTCTTTTCTTATAGAACCATGGATATTTTCGGGTACAATTAGAGAAAATATTCTATTTGGTCTTGATTATGATGTAAAAAAATTTTATCGATGTATTCATGCAACAGCATTGAATATTGTTTGTTATTATTTTATGTATTTTATTTCATTATTAATTTCTTTTTCTTTTTATATAAATATAGGATTTAGAAAATTTACCATATGGTGATTCAACTATAGTTGGAGATAATGGAATTATTTTATCAGGTGGACAAAAAGCTCGATTATCATTAGCACGAGCACTTTATCGTGATGATGATATTTATTTACTTGATGATCCATTATCAGCTGTTGATGTTGAAGTTGCTCGACATATTTTTGAAAAGTAATAATTCAAATAACAAAAAAATTAATATATTGAATAATATTTATATTTTCTTGTTTAATTTAATTATTTAGATGTATTCTTGGAAAATTACATTCAAAAATTTGTATTTTAGTAACACATCAAATTCAATTTCTTAAATATGCAACAAAAATTATATTTCTTGATAAAGTAAGTTTACTAAAATGAAATAAATCTTGTCGAAAAGTTTGAATAAGATGATTTCAAGATTAGTACTAACATTTGTTTTCATTGAGAAGAATATTTTTTATATAGTCATGTAAGACTTAAATTCCAAATCATATTCTCATGAGTCAAGTGTTTATGAGAAAATTATTTAGTAATCATCATTTCAATATTTGTTATGACAACTTTGATAGTAAAAATGAATCCCTTTTCTTGTAAGTCAAAGGCATGAGTTACTAAGTGCAAAACTAGAACCAACAAATTTTTCTGACTGATACCACACTCTTCTTCAAAAATTTATTTTCGATTTATATCAACTGAAAATAGATAGAGAAGAAAAGTGAAGGATGGTCACAACAGAACAAATATATCCACTCTGATACATAGACATAGCAGATAGATCATAGAATACAAAAAGTAGAAATAACTTTCTCTTACTCCAGTAATCTCCATCTTTCATTTCTATCATTCACGAGTCATGAATCAGATTCGATAAAATCCTGTCTTTGGAAAATCTACGATTATATATGATGATAAATAAAATCAACAGGGGTTAGATGAAGGTTACTACTATCCGTTTCAAAAAAGAATGAGCGCGATTGCGAGTTGAATAACTCGAGAACGCAAACAGCTAGCGACCTGCGGTTTTCAC